GTAGTAGTAGTAGTAGTAGTAGTAGTAGTAGAAGTAGTAGTAGTAGTAGTTGTTGTTGTTCTTGTTGTTGTTGTTGTTATTGTTTCCTTGATGTTGTTGTTGTAGTAGTGGTAGTAGTAGTAGACTAGTGGTACACATAGATATATTTTCTTATAAAGTTCCTGATGAAGCTCAGATGGTGTGAAGTGTTAAACTTTATTTTTCAGTAATGCAATAGAATTCTCCAATCAAAGTTGCCATATTTTTTTCTTCTACCGTACAATAACAATGATGATGATGATAATGATAATGATAAATTTGCTGCTGCTGATGATGATGATAATGATGATGAACATGACAGTTTTCCTTTCACCCATCCACAGACCAAGTGTCCATCCCGGAAGAAGTGACTGCGGAGGTGACAGCCCCAGACGAGATCATGGTCCGCTGGAAAGAGCCAAGCAAGAGCCCTGAGCTGGTCAAAGGTTACAAGATCTATGTCACAGAGGTCACAGGGTCAGCACGAGAGGTTACCTTTAACGTGGACTCAGTGAGCAGCAGCGGAGAGGAGAACTTTTTGCTGGAGGATATCGCACCTGGTGCCACATATGAGATCCAGGTCAACAAAATATCTGATTTTGAAAAATGAATTTCTTTTCTCTTTCAGGTTACACATAACTCGTAATGTATTATACTTTTCAGATGTATCTTTTTACCATGGCTGGCAGAGCAAAGCATTCCCATTTCTGAGGGGAAACCATTATGTGATGCAAGAATGGCATCCAATGTGGCCACCACCAGTTTTCAACAGAACATGGTCTCTGAAATGGGAGGGTTTTTTGTGCCTCAAAAGCTGAAAGGGAACAGATTTTTGTCAGATGTACCGCAATTAGTTCAAAATGAACAAATAAGCCTATTGACACTTCTCAATTATAGGCCCCTGAGCATACTAAAGGAACAAGTTAAATTGAAAAAGTGACGAACAGCCAATTTTGACGTCTACATGGTCAGCAATATAAGACAAGATCCCTGCAAAGTCATCAAATGGTTCAGATTTTGACTCTTCTCAGAAACTTGATACTTTTGATATATTAATGTTAGTGCACCATAAACTGAGCTGGCATCACACTGACCTACGATGAAGATGACCCTGGTTCAAATCCCTGACTAGGTGCTCTTGAGCTTTTATTGTTGCTGTCTGATAACAGCTGCTACAAAGCCTCTTGGACACTTGGCTATTATGCTGTAAAGAGAGTACTATCTGTTTAGCACAAGTAGGAATATGTACCCAAGACGAAATTCTGTCCCATATACTTTTGTTATGACGAGTGTTTTCAGCATCATGCTGGTGGGAAGTGTGAGTGCAGTTTGTCTATTTCTCTTTGCTGTGTTATCAGGGTTATTTATAAGGACAGCTGTGACGGCAACTGTTTTATAATGATATCTGATACATCCTCTTGAATCATCTTTACTTTTGGTGTTCCCTAGTCGAGTATTTAATGCAAAGTCCCATAATTTTGACAGGTGGTTGCGCTTTATCCACAAGGAGCAGCGGATATGGATGACAGAGGAGAGGGCCCAAGATCGGCCAAAATACGAATTGACACACCAAACTTTGGTATGTATCGTTACAGTGTCACTTGTCAGAAGAAAGAATATTTTTGTAAAAACTCTTTAAGTGCACTATGTTTCGAACTGAAATTTTCGTCTTTGTATGTCTTTGCTGCTGGATAAGAAAGGAAATACAGGAACATCGAAAAAAAACTGTACAACTTTTTTTCTAAATATATTGCACAAAATTTGTACTAGAAAGTTGTAATTTGGAACATATATAATTCATTCAAAAGAAAGGAATTTGTTTGACATAAAATTCACAAAGAAGAAACTTATTTTCGAAAACGGAAATTGCTTTTATAAAAACCACCAATAAATTCAAAATGCGCCAATTTAAAAGATCTTGTAAGGAAAGTCATGAAATGATTGGTTTGGGGTTTTTTTCCTTTCCTTTTATTTTTAAAATCTAATCTTTCTATTCCTGTAACCTTTAAGCAATATTTCTTTTTCTCTCTTCAGAGTTAAAAGAATTTTTTTAAATTCCAGAATTCCGAGAACCAGTTGTCTATTCGTCCGTCCTCCTTTGGGCTCGACACATTTTAATGCGTCGTTCGTAATGTTCAGTGGTGGCCAAACACAAGGATCCACTAAACCATGAGTACTCAAAGCCACGCACACTGTACATCTTACAGTGTTGAACTGTTTCTAGAGAAAATGGGAGGGGGGGGGAGTTGACCAAATAGACAACATTTTTGTGTTGATATAACCTGAAAGGTGAATATATGCTTTGCCAAGGAACCAAATGTCATAGAGGAAATGTTCATGCTTTTCAAGACGATCGAGGAATCGTGAACACATTGCACTATTCTTTGATAGCTTCGTGAACTGGAAAATGGCACAGTTGTAGTGGAAGATCTGCCTTGAGAAAATGGACCGTTGAGGTGTAAGAAAGTCATTGCTGCAGACATGGTCAACAGACGTCTCATGTGGATCATTTACTGAATTCTGCACCCTGGTGACATTTAAAGGGGTGCAAACAGTGTATGTTTGACCTGAAGTGGTCATTTTGTCTGGGAATTTTTAGTTCTGATTCTCTACAGGTCTTAACTGATGGACACTGATGGACCATTTCCATCCTTGACATCAAAGAAGGCCTTCAGCGCACTTTAACATTATTTCCGTACCTTGTGCGAAGCTTACAAAAAGAATTGGTGGTGAAAAAATATTCAGTACAAAAAGCTCTCTGCTCTTTATTAATCTTAAGGATGATCTCAGCAGGCAAAGGAAACTTGAGAAAAACTATCTGCAAACTTCTGTTGGCCTGTTCAACAACTGTAATTTGCAACATGGCGCAATCGTTGGGATTTTTAGTGGTAGGCCTAATGCAAACTAGTGCGTCATGCTACGAAAATGGGGACATAGCTGAAAATTGGTTGCTTTTTTACGCACTATGTAGAGCAAAACTATTCTGTGAATCTATCTAAAATGAATATCAGACAAATTCATTTAGACTTCCAAATGCTGTATACAAATTTGAGATGCAAAACTTCATTGGAGGAAAATATTAAGGAAAAAAGTTGTACAGTTTTTTTGGATCACCCTGTATTATGGTTTGCCATTATGTGCGCCATTTGACTTCAACAATTCCGGTGTCTATGGGATACTTGATGCCCTTCTACAGAAAAACTGGTAAAAATGTGTGTTATGCCATTGTTAAAAACTAAATTTAAAGAAGGAAAACTAAAGTTAATACTGTTTTGCCATTGGCCTCCTCAGATTCACCACCGTCCAAAGTTGTCTGCAAGCCATGGAAGAACTCCACAATCATAGTCACTTGGGAACCTCCTGCAAACGTTGACCCCAGAGGAATCGATGGATACAAGATCTTTTACAAGGTAAAGAACAACATTTCACCCCTTGAGAAGCGGTTGCGTCTAATAAGAAAAATAAGTAATCGTGCATTGTATTTCCAGGGTTGTGAATTTAAGTGGTACTTTAAACATCAAAGGAAATTGTTAAGGGACTGTACAGTCCTCTAGCGCTACCCACTCAGGGCCTTTACAGTCCCCTAGCGCTGCTTACTTGGGGACTGTGCAGTGCCCTGGTGTTCCGCACAACCTTTGACCTTTGGGTCAAGGTCAACAAGCTGTCATCAACATTTCGTAGCATAGACTCAAATAGACATAGACGAGACAGTACAGAGGCAAAAAATAAAGAAAAAATACCGGGGACTAGGTGGATGATTGGTAGAACGTTCTGTCTTTCCTTCCTTGGTGCTGTACTGCATGGCGTGGGTTCAAACCCCAGATGAGTCACAATTTTCTCTTTATTTTCTGCCGCTGTACTGTCATGTCTATGTCTATCTGGGTCTATGCTACGACTTCAGTGTGCAGCAGCAGCAGCTCTTTTCAAAGCTCCGACACCTTTTTAATCAAAACTTTGAATATGATTTTTTTTCTGGAAATATGAAAAAATAGTTTGGATTTGGGGTAAAAATATGAGAAAATTAGTACAGGTTGCTGTCAGGGTTGGCAAGTCTGTGATAGGCTGATATAGGTGGTCTTGTTGTTGTTGCTGCCGATCAGAGAATTATAATATGAGATGGCTTGCTCTTTTTTGACCGGACAGTAATATTAGTCTACCCAGTATAATGTGTTTAAAACTGAACACTGAAGATTTGAAAATTGATAATTTTGACCTAAGCACATGATGTGTATCAGTATCAGTAAATGTATTCAAGGGTACTACTTAAAGTAGAATCCTGGATTCTTCAAATTGAAAAGTATTCTTCTAATTTTTTTAAATAGTATTGAAAAAGATTGAGAAATAACATTTTTATAGGCTAAAATCTAAAAATGTCAACATCTCGGAATCAGCTTTTTCCAGTTTAGAGCGTTTTGTCATAAAACTTTAGTCCCCTAACAATTTCCTTCAGTGCTAAGGGACTGCACATTCCCGGAGTAAGCAGTGCGCTAGGGGACTGTACGGGCCCCCAGTTGGTAGCACTAGTGGACTGTACAGTCCCCTAACAACTTCCAACATCAAAAGCACATGATATCAGTTCTTATCTTTTTTGTGTTTCATGGATGGGAAATTGTCTCCTTTTTGGATTGGGTCAGCTTCCTGCATACTCTCTCTCTCTCTCTCTCTCTCTCTCTCTCTCTCTCTCTCTCTCTCTCTCTTTCTCTCTCTCTCTCTTTCTCTCTCTCTCTCTTTCTCTCTCTTTCTCTCTCACTTTCTGTCTTTCAATCTTGGCCTCATTCCATATAATATATTTTTTAACCAATAAACTCCGACTCTCTCACGTACGCCTTTTTCTATAATTCAGGGTCGCAGCAAGCGTCAAAACCCTATGGGTGAGGTGACAGTGACTGCCCCTGGTCCAGACGGGAAGTGGCAGGGCGTTCTGGATGGTCTTCCCAAGAAGATCAAGTATAACATTGCGGTGGCAGCCTTCACAGGCGGGGACAGAGGCTACACAGGACGCAGGAGTCCAACTGTGGAGTACAGACATGATGGGTTTTGTGAGTTCACGAAATGGGGAAAGGGGGGTTGGGGGGGGGCCCCCGGGGGGCCCGGGCCGGGGTTTAATTTGGGGGGAAAGGGAGACGAAGAGAGACAGAGGGAGAATTGGGGGGGGGGGAGTATGAGAGGGGATGAGAAAATCACAGAGAGAGAGTGAGTGATAGAGAGAGATACATTGTGAGCGTGTGTGTGTGTGGGGGGGGGGGGGGGGGGTATCTTAACCTCTTCACAAGTTCACAAATAAATCTTGTGAACTGAGAACATGTTTGTGCAACTGATGACTATGTCCAATCCAAGATAATGGGTTACAAGTAAACTTTCTTATTAGTCAAGTCTGGTCACTCTCTATTCTGAATAGAAAATATATGACTGTCAGCTCTAAAAACTAATTGTCGCAAACTATTTTCTACTTTCATTATGCCAATTATATTTGATTGTGAATGAATAAATATGAATAGTAACTTACTCTTACTTTTTCATCCTCTGTTGCTGTTAAGCGTTTAGGGAAGATGCAGTTTTCTGTGGTAGGCCAGCTCCGCAGCTCTTTCAATGGGAATATTATAATTTCTCAGGGTTTCTGTGACTCCCTCAATCCACCTTTTGCATGGCCTTCCACTTCTTTTAAAGCCTGAGTGCTTGGTGTTATAGGCTCTCGAGACTCGCTAGCTAGGTGACATTCGTAACAGGTGGCCAAAATCATTTTTTTCTCTCTTTTTCTATGAAATGGAGACAGGACTCAGTACCGATAGCTGCTCTTTCTTTTTTATTTCTCTGCCTGTCTCTCTTGTGATGTTAAGGGTTTTGTGGAAACATTTCATCTCGCATGCAGTAATTTTGCTTTCATGGGCTTTACTTGTTGTCCAGGTCTGGCACTGATAGCTTAATGTTGGTATAAATATTGAAGTGATAAGCTATCTCTTTGTGACCATGGAGATGTCTAGATGAGATTAAAGGGGTGCAAGATGGTAGGTGACAATGTTGGCTTTTTTGAGTTGGCATTTCTATTTCTCTGTCTATGGACCCGTTTTCCGAAAAAATGATGCCAGGATATTTTAACTCCTTCACCTAGTTATGGGTCTATGGTTCTGCTTATTTTCAAGTCAAATTTCTCACAACTTTTGTTCAGTATGGTAATGTGGTTTTCGAGGCTTTGTTTTTTTGGATGAATAAGACATTGGTCGTCTGCAAATAGAGTTTTTAGGATTTATTATTAATATTTTGCTAGCAATTACTATTTATAAATGTATAAGTTCAAATGTTTCCCATAAACAGGGTTGTGATGTATTTTTTTTCTTTTTTCAAATGCCATGGAGTAAACTTAAGAAAACAAGGGGGAGAACTCATAGGATGAACTATATTTAGTATTTTGGTGAGAAGAGTTCTCTGACTTTTAAAATGCAATTTTTAGAGTTTTAACTGTCATGCCGCCTCCACACATTTGGTCAGAACCTAAGCCTTGTAACGTTGAAATGCCTAGAGAACAGAGACTGCCAGAGCTTTAGAGCTGAGCATCAGGGCCTGTCCCCTGCCACCTGTCACTATGACCATTTTCAACCGTTGGTGTTTCACTCCTTGCCACAATAGGCATCCATCTTTCCCGCTCTCTGTTTTGATGAACTATTTCATGAAGCTGAAGACCTTTGCCAGGGGTAGACCTAAAGCAACCTACTTGGAGAGACTGAACAGACAGGTAACAAAGAAAGATCAGGATATGTGGCTTTTTCTAAGGTATTCCAGCAAAGGCATGAATGGGAAACCATGATCACTGATGTATGTTGCAAATCTGGCACTTGATGATGATGATGTGGAAAAGTTATATGTTTTTAATTATATTTTTCCATCAAATAAATGCTTCTGTGTATTATATTTGGTGTATTTGTGAATGTGTCAACTGTCATCCAAGACTTCCTTTTTAAAAAAAGTGTCAATGAAGGAGTGAAACAATTCATTCATTTTATTGAGTCGTAGCACATCCAACCAGTGTTTCCTGACAGAAACCCACTTCATGCCATGACTTTGTCTTCAGAAACACACTGAAGACATGGTCAAAATGAGGCAACTTTCAAGAATTTTGAGTCTGGATGCTTGCCTTGTGTTACCTTAAATGTTGCACAAAATTTAAATGTGTGAAAATGCACAAAATAATGTTATAGTTCTGCTTTAGTTTTTCTTCTCTTTTATCAGCCCTCGCTCCCCCCCCCCTCCCCTCCCCTTTCCAAATACCCCTTTTCTCCCTCTTTCTCACAGCACCAGAACTGAGTATCAGTGCTGTGGCACTTGGTCCAGAGAGTGTCTTGATCACTCTGCAAACTGTGGGTCCATCAAAGGTGGACAAACTGCGCGTTTTGTACACTGATGAGAGTGCCATTGAGTGGAAGCGAGTGGAAAAAATAAAAAAATTTGACCCTAAAATGAACTATATTATAGTAGATAACCTGCAACCAAGGACTCGCTACTTCTTCATGGCCAAAGTGCGGGTAAACAAGAGGTCCAGGCAGACAGTTACGCATGTTTTTACACCTCCTTCAGGTAAATTTAACTTGTGGGAAGGGGGGGGGGGATTGTTGTTGTTTTTTTTCCTTTGAAGCAAAGTGGTAGGCGTTTTCATGTTACTGGTGTAGCTACAGTAGTTGTTGCTGTTATAGGGGTGGTGGTGGTGGTGGTGGTGGTGGTGGTGTTAGTCAAGGCACAGCAATGAGTCTGCTGTTGTTTCTGTTGTATATGTAAGGTCCCGTTGTTGTTACATTTGTTATAGTGGATTTCATCTCATCTTTAAACACAGTAGGCTACAATATCTGTATCTGTAATTTACTGTTGCCTTGATTTTGATAGTTGTGACGGGAATGTTACTGTTTATTATTCATTCAGAATGAGCCTCGCTCTTTTTTTCCTTAATAATGGAAATAAATAATATTTGGATAGCGCATATCCCTTCTCTACGGCAAGCTCTCTGCCTTTTACGCTATATTATTACTCTATATGACCCTAGAACACTTAGAAACATTTTTGGCTTCTCAAGAATGATACTGTGCAAACAGCTAATTAAGCACCCAAACTCGAACAAACTGACAAGATCTTTTGCTGTCTCCATTTCCCTCTTCGTGAAATGAGGAAAATTTATGTAAAGTGGATTTTCCAATAACACAACATCGGGCCCCTGACAGGATTCGAACCTATGACCCCGAGTTTGCAAGTGTGTTGCTTTAAATCATTACTAGACTGATGTGAGATCCAGTCTCTAAATCACTTTAAAAAATAAAACTTCAACTCCTCAATACAGATAAACAGTGTCTTTTTATTATTATTTTCTCCATACTTAATTTTGTGAGTTGCTTTGTTTTTTGAACAATCAGATCTGTTTTCATACATGAATTTAACTCAAGTGTAAATCCAAAATGGAAGAGACACATTGTTGCTCAAACCAAGAGTTGTAGCCTTCCATGAACATGTGTCAGGGTATCAAAGATAATAACTAATTAAAATTTTTTAATTTTGGAACAAAATGGGCTTTTACTGTTACTTGTGTCACGATAAATTTTCTTCATGTCAATAGAGGCTGAGACTCAGAGCTGGTAGAATTATTTTTCCCTTCCCAGTTCTGGAAGCCCCAGAGAACGTGACTGTCACAGCCAACACTGACAACAGTGTGCTCGTCACATGGGAACACGAGTCAAGGGTCAAGGCCAGTGGGTTCATTATCAAGGTCATGAGAGAATTACCATCTGGGAAAATCATGTACGTGTTCTTCGTTATAGTCTTGGTGAAAATGTTTGAATGTCGAACTTGCTGTTTTGTCTGTCTGTCTGTCTGTCTGTCTGTCTGTCTGTCTGTCTGTCTGTCTGTCTACTATCTATATATTTATCTATCTGTCTATCTATCTATCTATCTATCTATCTATATATCTATCTATTCGTCTGTGTGTTCATCAGTCCAACTATCCGTTCATATGTCTGTCTGCCTGTCTATCTGTAAGTTCATGTGTCTGTCAATGTGTTTGTCTGAATGTACGTTTGCCAGTCTGTGTATTTATTTGTTTTCATTTGCTGCTTTTGGTTTTTTTTAGTCTGTTTGCCTTTTGACCAGAGTGTCTGTCTTTCACTTTATCTGTCTTTCACTTTATCTGTCTTTCACTTTATCTGTCTTTCACTTTATCTGTCTTTCAATTGTCTAAACATGGAGCATTTGTTCTCATGGTGGCACAATATCTACACTACAATTTTTCTTTACAAAAGCTGCCCTATTGAGCTGTTTAAAATCTCTTTCTCCAGGCGCTATATATAGATGTCTTAAGATTTTAATATAATAGAAATTTTTAAAATTACAACAAAAAAAGAAAAAGCAGACAGCATCTCAGATCGACTTTTAAAGCCACTTTCCACCCACTTCTAAAAACGGTTCAGGTGCCAAAAAAATTATTCTTGCCTTTTTCGAAATTGTATTTTCTTTTTAGAAGAGGAATTTTTTCTTAGTTTTTTTTCCATTTTTATCGACTCTAAAACAGGCCGTACAAACAACAAGTGGTGTTTAAAGAAAATGAGGCCCTGGTCCAAGATCTGTATGAAGGGCAGAAGTATCAGGTGCTAGTGGAACCCTTCGATTTGGATGGCAAGGGCATTGCAAGCGAACCTGTTCACTTCTCTATTGCTGCTTCAGATATTGAACTCACCACTCCAGGTTAGACTGTTGTTGTTTGTTAATGGTGGTGGTAGCGGTTGTGTTGGTTGTGGTGGGGGAGGCAGGGAGATGAGGCTGCTATCTCTACCTCTTTCTTTCTTTTTTCTCTCTCTCTCTCTCTCTCTCTCTCTCTCTCTCTCTCTCTCTCTCTCTCTCTCTCTCTTGATCCCTTCTTCTATCTCTCTGTCAATCTTTCTTTTCAAAACAACCCCAACCCCACCTCTCTCTCTCTCTGCATTTCTTCATCTTTCTCTCTCTCTATTCATCCCACTCCATTATATTTCTCTTTGCTTCTTTCTCTCTCTCTCTCTGTCTCTCTCTGTCTCTCTCTGTCTCTCTCTGTCTCTCTCTGTCTCTCTCTGTCTCTCT